TATATATATACATGTATATATAATGGAGTACTACTCAGCCATAAAAAATGAGAAATTAGAGACATTTATAGATAAATGGATGCACATTCAAGTGATAGTCTTAAGTGAAATAGATAGGACACATGTTTAAATACCAAATAGTTTCTCTGGTGTGAGAAACTGAAAATGTAAATAAGGACTAAAGAGTGCAATAGATGGTGTGAAATAAGAATAAAAGGGTCAAAGAGAAAGGGGAAGTTGGAAGGGGTAGGGGAAAGGAAAGAAGGGAATGGAATTAATATGAGAAAATGAACAAATAGAAACAAAGCCTTTATAAATAGGGATGGAGGGGTTGAAGAAAGCAAAAGGGCAGGGGAATGGGGAAAAAGTAAGAACCAAGAGAGATTATCTAAAGATGCAAATTTCCAATGATGAATGTCATATTGTGTATCTAAAATGTACTAATAATATCAATTAAAAATAATAATTAAAAAAAAACAGCTACAAAGAAACAAGTGAGCCAAGCGTGATGCCATATGACTCTAATCTCAGCTATCTGGAGGCTGAGCCAAGAGGATTGCCTTGAGTTCCAACCGGGGCTACATAGTGAGTTCAAGGCTAGCCTGGATTACATAGCAATACCTTGTTTCAAAGAACAAAACACCTGTAGGCTATGATCAAAACAAAAATGCATGGGAAATTTATAATCTTAAATTCACTGTTAAAATACTGAAAAGGTAAAAATTCATTGTTTATCACCAGTGCTAGGACAAAATAACAATAAGAAACTAAACCTCAGAAAAGAATTAAATATAAATAAACTAGACAAATATTGGAGAAGGCAAGAAGTAAAAAGCCAGAGGAGAGTCTTTAAGAAAATGTTTTTAAACTATAGCCTTGTATCAATGAATCTATTTTATCTTAAAAAGAAAGTAGAAAACCTAGAACTTTGAGTAACTTTATTAAAATTGTAGTCAAAGATCTATTTTTGAAGAAATCATTGGGCCTAGAAAGCTTTGCTGGAACATTCTGACAAATCTTTAAAGAATAGATAATTCATATCTCTCTCATACAATAAACTATTACAGAGGCAGAGAAAAATGAGGCTTCATTTTATAAAGCACGCCCAAATGTGAAACTCCATAGGATAAAAAAATACATAGTAATTTTATTTCCTAGTATGTGTCTTGCTGTGTATCGCAGGCCAGCTTTGAACTCACTATTTAGCTTAGGTTGGCCTCAAACTCTCCATTTTCTGCTTCAGTCTGCTGAGTGGTGGGGTTATAGGCATATGCCATCATACCCTGCCTACCATTTCTCATTGTCATGATACAAATGCCTACATAATGCATAGAAGAGATTCTTTGGAGGAGCTCTTCCTTAGGCAGGCCTCGTGAGCACACTCAGAATTTATTTTAATCTTGAAAATGTGCTTAATGTAAAATGCCAGCAGCAAAAACAGAAAATTGAGTATCATCTGTGCCTTAGTAAAAGGCTGAAAGGAAATACTACCAAGTATACATATAGTGGTGTGATACTCTTTTCTCTCTGCCCCTTCTGCAACACTTATTTCTTTTGGATATGTATTTGTGCAAAAGAGTTAATCAGGCAATATAAGCAATACAGTAATTTCATGGACAAATTTTAATATTAACAAGGTAATTTCAAATTGTTAAGTGTTAACAGAATATGAAATTAAATGATTCAAAGACAATATATGAGCCTGCATCTATAGTACTATTGAAAGTAAATTAATTGGTGAAGCCTATCTGAAAAATGTTTAGACAAGAACTGTAAAAGTATCTTTTATCCAAGGAATCCTCCCTCTGTGTATGTACCCCGAAGAAATACTACACAAGAAAAATATCATAATTAATTGCAGTGTTATTTCACAATAGCGACATTGAGAAACATTCACCCTATCTGGAAAAAAAAAAGCTGTATATCAATGATTCAGTGTATTTCTCATATTTCAAAGTAGTTTTGGCAAGAGATCCTATGACTTTGTGTATGGCCACTGTATAATTCATGGTAAGAAAATTAAGTAAGGTTATAACCATTTAAAAAAAATAACACAAAATGGAGGATTACTTACTCTGAAATGTGCTGGTGTTGAGCAACTACCCAAAGTTTTGGGCATAAAAAAAGTAATCTAAGAGTGTTTTCATCTGGCCATTTAATTCAGGGGTCATTATAGTTTTGTGGGTTTTTTTGTATTAAATTCTTTTATTGGTACATTGTAGGTATATAACACAATTACGTTTCTCATTGGGAATTGTACCTTTACATAATGCATCTTGGTTCTTATTTTTCCCCCATTCCTAGCCCTCCCTTCATGCCCTCCAC